CTGTTCTAATTTAGACCCATTTCATCCCTTTGTTTACTGCACAACTGTCATCTTTGGATGCTATTTCATTATTCCCCTAAACGAGTTCTGTCTGTGTATCCCTGAGAATCAGTTAACTAACTGCAAGGTTGGAGGAAACATAGCCCACCCAACATCACTCTAACTTGTGACATCAATTGCAAGTTGGAGGGGTTCTCTAAACCATGCTCAGGTTTGATCATTCTCTAGAAGGACCCATAGAACTCATTGAAATCTATTATACTCATGGTAGAGATTTATTGTAGAGAAAGACAGACTGAAGTCATCCAAGGAAGCATTACATAGAGCAGAGTCTAAGGAAGCACCCAATTCAGAGCTTTCATTGTCCTCTCTCCATAGAGTCAGGACAGGTTACTTTCTCAGCACTGATGTGTAAACAATGAGCACAGACATTTGCCAACCAGGAAAGCTTATCAGAGCCTGGGTATTCAGAGTTTTTATTGAGCTTCCATTACTTACACATGATTGATTTGCCCACATGGCTAAGTACAGTCTCCAGCCTCTTAAAGTGTGGCTCAAAGCCCCTCAGCCTGAATCACATTGTTTCTATTAGGCTGGTTCAAAGACCCCAAAGACACTTCTATCAGGCCTGACATTCAGGGAGTTTAGAGATTACCTCCTGGAAGCTGAAGCAAAGACCAGACCTCTTATGGGGCAAGATTACATTCTTTATTATGTATTTCCACCTCTTTCTCTTTCTTGGTTTTCACCCTCTTTTTATTGGAGTACATCCTCAAATAAATGAGTATGGATGTAAATTCTCACTTTAAATTTTCAGTGTTCTGAGATTTCATAACATACCTCTAGATATAAGCCTTTTTTCATTTATCATATGGACCCTGTGAATAATGATTTGCCTTTAGCTCTGGAGATGTTATTTCTTTCACAATTTCCTTTCCTCTATCATGAGTGTTTTGTCTTTAGAACTCCTACTTGTTGGCTATTGGCGATGTTGGACTGTTGTTCCAGTTCTGAATCCACAGCTTTTCCAGGATTCTGCAGGGCAACTTGGTGACTATGTGTCTTGTAGTTCTCTTCTCTCATATTCTAGAGTGCTGTTTTCTTCTTCTCCCACTATTTGCTCTTATAAACCTCTTAAAGCATCTGCTTTTCCTCTTCTCATCTGCTCATTACCAACTACAATTTTTGTGGGCTATATCTTCTCTGATTCTTTTAATATTTTAAATTAGTCCTGTGACAGAGGAATAAGTAGGTCTATTCACCTTGACATCTTGAACTATAAGCTACCCATAGGAATTTGAAAGTACTTTTAAAAATATTTTTCTTTACTGATTTTAGAGAGAGAGTAAGGGAGAGGGAGAGATAGAAACATTAATGAGAGAGAAGATCGACTGGCCACCTCCTGCATGCCCCGCACTGGGGATCAGCCCAAAACCTGGGCATGTACCCTGACTGGGAATCAAACCAGGACCTCTCAGTCCATGAGATAATGCTCAATCCACTGAGCCACACTAGCAGGGCTGAATTTGAAAGTGTTTTTTTTTTTTTAATACTCACCCGAGGACATTTTTTGCATTTATCTTGAGATAGAGTGGGAGGGAGAGAGGGAAGGAGAGAGAGAAGCATCAATGTGAGAAAGACACATCAAGTGGTTGCCACACAACCCCAACTGGGGCCGGGGACAAACCACAACTGAGGTACGTGCCCTTAGTGGAAACCGAACCCGGGCCTCTCTGGTCCACGGGCTGATGCTCTAACCACCAAGCCAAACCGGTCAGGGCTGAAAGTATTTTAAACACAGGTGGTTTTTTCTGTCCAATTATGTATCCTGTGACTACATCAGTGGCCTAAGACTCAGTTATGAAGTATCTCCTGAGCCTATGTTACACAGTTTGGGACAAGAACATCTTAGAAGTATACTCATAGAGCCTATGTGACACTAAGCCAGGACAAGAGGAGTAGAGAAACTGAGACCGATGGTAAAACAGCAGTTTAACTACCTAGAAAATCAAGATGCCCAGCAGTTTCAGCCACGTAGTAAATTCTGTCTTCCCTAAACCAGGGACACTTAAGAATAAATGGTTTATACTTCTCCTCTCCAACCAGAGGGTAAACAGCTTAAATCATCCTACTCAGGGAGACAGATAGCAGAAATACAATTAGTGTCGTTTGCCAACCACACCCAAGGACAGATGAAGTTAAGTGAATAAACCTCATTTTGATACATCAGCATAAAGCTGAATATGCTATTGAAATCATCTCCTAAGTCCTCCCCTGAACACTCAGCCTTTATAACCCCTCAAAATGAAGAGTGGTGGTTGGGCAGGAGGCAACCAATCAATGTGTCTCTCACATCGATGTTTCTCTCTCCTTCCCCTTTATCTAAAAATATCAATGGAAAAATATCCTTGGATGAGGATTAACAACAACAACAAAAATTTAAAGATTAATAATAATACGAAGAGAGCAAAGGGAAGGTCAGACATTGTAAGCATGGGCACCTGGGAAGCTTCACCAGGTAGCTACAGTCTCACACAGCATTGTTCTTCCAAGGGGATTAACAACCCTCCCTTCCCTCATACACCACTAGATTGTTGAGGGGAGAAGGGAGAGATAGGCACAGGCATAATAGAAATCCGGATGACACAGGGAAGATGTCTGTCTGTCAATCTAGCCTGGGGAACAATGGATTGCCTAAGGGGTGGGCCCCATCAGAAGTGTGCAAAATCTTGGAAAGTTAAAAACTCCAGACAAAGGAGCTTTCTCTCTCTTGCACTGGTTCGCTCTTTTTCTCTCCTGTACGCTCTTAGTGGCTCTTCTTCTCTCTGGCCCATGACCCACACTCACTGGTGTGCTTGCCTGTCTTCTCTCCATACCATGTGGTCATAAGCAGCCACATGGCCGATGGTCATGAGGACCCCACATGCAATGGACTGTGGCTGGGAACACAAGCTAAGCTAGCCAGCTGGGCAGGGGTCTTAACTCTGGCCCTGATGAAGACAAGACTGGGCTTTTTCCATGTGAGAAGGACAGAGATGGGACCTTGGAGAGGAACCCCCCTACTTTTACTTTGTCAATAAAGCTTTCCAGAAAACCTATCCTCCCAAAGGGGCCTCAGGAAATTTTTTCCTTGTGGTACCCCAAGAACTCCACTTCCACCGATAACAATATTATATATACAAGGTATCAAATTATGACATATTGAAAAGAAGAAAGTAACCTAAGTGACTTTGTTTTAAAAATACATTTTCAGCCCTGGCCAGTTTGCTCAGTGGTTAGAGCATCGGCCTGTGGTCCAGAGAGACCTGGGTTCGGTTCCCGCTAAGGGCATGTACCTTGGTTGCAGTCTGTTTCCCGCCCTGGTTGGGTTGTGTAGGAAGCAGCCACTCGATGTGTCCCTTTCACGTCGATGTTTCTCTCTCTCTCTCTCTCTCTCTCTCTCTCTCTCTCTCTCTCTTCCTCTTCCTCTCTCTCCCTCCCACTCTATCTAAAAAAAAAACCAAAAAAACATTTTCAGAACTGGCCGGTTTGTCTCAGCAGTTAGAGCATCAGCCTGCAGACCAGAGAGTCTCGGGTTCGGTTCGCTAAGGGCATATACCTTGGTTGCAGTTTGTCCCCGGCCCGGTTGGAGTCATGTTGGTGGCAGTCAATGTGTCTCTCTCATACTGTTTCTCTGTCTTTCTCTCTTCTTCCCTCTCTCCCTCCCGCTCTATCTGAAAATAAATGCAAAAAATGTCCTCGAGTGAGCATTAAATATATATATACATTTTCAAAACTTCCTGTCTAAAGAGAAATACAAAAAGTAAACTATATACTCTTGCAAGGGTCCAGATGGTGGCTGGGGTAGAGAAGAAAAGAAGCATTGGCTTTGGAAGCAGAGGCCTGGGTTTGAGGCCTGGTTCTGCCTTTGTTGTCTCCATAACTTTGAATGAGTTACTGAACTTTTCCGAGTCACAAGTTTCTTATCTATAAGCAAAATGATAACATGTGTCTCATCACTGTTGTGAGACTGAAAACAAATAACAGGCATGAAAGAACTTTATAGATTGTAAAGTAAATAGAAAACAAAATATACTCTCCAAGTGACTACAGTCTCCAGGGTAGATTTTGTGCAAAACTCAGCTGAATCCTTGGGGGGTGGGGGTGGGGGTGGGGGTAGGTGGCTTATATCTCTGTGACTACTTTTCCCAGACAAGGGTAAAAAAAAATCACCTGAATTGTCCAAGGGTTCTACCAAATAGATAAACATGCCTATTGAAAATGACTATAAACATAACAATAGAATCAAAAAAGAGATATATAAAACAAGTTCCTAATTCTGAGTTGATATATTTATCCTCTCTTTAAGTATGCACTGAATGCCAATAACATTCAAAGCACTTTAAAGAATTCAAAAATGACCTGGCCAGTTTTGCTCAATGTTTGGAGCGTCGGCCTGTGGACTAGAGAGTCCCGGGTTCGGTTCCTGCTAGGGGCACGTACCAAAAAAAGAAAGAATTCAAACATGTTAACTAGCACTTGTACTTTCACTCACTCAGCAGAAAGCTTCCTGTTTCAGGGGAGACCATGCATGCATCCATATATCCACAATACAATACTGAGTATAACAAGTGGCACATGCCTGCTACAAATGAATGAGAAGTGGCACTTGAGTCTTAAAAAATGAGTAGGGTTTCAACTGGCTAAGTGAAGGACATTCCAAGAAAAGGGCACTATGTTCACAAAGGTTACAGATATGGAAAGGTATGGCTATGTTCTGGGAATGGTGAAAAGCTTAGGTTGCCTAAATAACAGGTTTAATAGAGAGGATATGGGCATAGGCCATGATGGACATGGCCTCTTATAACAGGCTAATGCATGGGAACTTTATTCTGCAGGCGATTGGTAGCCTTTGAAGATTTTTCATTACCAAGGGGAGTTCATAATAAAATAGGGCTTTATAACAATGATATTTTACTTTTGTATTAATATTTATTCTTTACAAATTGCTTTGACATACATGATCTCATTTGCTCCCTGCCACAATTCTATGATAGAGGTGTTCTTTTTGTTTGTGAGTAGAATAAGGTTTAAATCAGACCTAGACTCTGATTCCAATTCCAATCTTCTTCAAATCGACTTCTATTGTAGGAAGATTGACGTGTCGAAGGTGGGTACAAAGTACACTGACGTGAGGAGATCCTGGAGGTAGTGGGGCAGTTCCTGAAGAACATAAGAACTTCTGAGATAAGAGTTGGAATTTTGGAGCCAGTGTTTAGCAAAGTAATAAAAAACAAATAAACAGGCTTCTTCTATTCTAGAAAATTTGATTCTGCCATGAAAGCAGGAGAAACAGGATTAAGGACATGATCTCATATTTCTTTAAAATTCCCTAATGGTACTGAGCACAGTGCTAGGCACACAGTGTTGCCAAATAGGTGACTCAAGTATTCATTCCCTTCAGACAGGCTCTGACACTACTAAGGACAGGGAGAACCTCAGTCCCTCAGTGTTCCGAGCTGTACTAAATGCTCAATTGCCTAGCACAGACCCAGGATCACATCACTCCAATAGTATGAAACTAGATGCTTCTCCCAACATGACAAAGATATGCTTGTTTAAATGACAACTGTAGGATTCCCCCAAGGACATGTGGGCCATGTAAAAACTGGGAGTAGAGCTCACAGCTGTTCATTTCTACAGTTAACAGTGGACAACTGGTAAGAATTCAAACAATTTTTTATTGTGTAAGTCTTAAGTGCTGTTGTTTTTCTAATAGCTTCTCTGTTAATGATGCAAATTTGATTTCTCAAAATAAGGATTTTCCAGGGGAGATCTTGCATATATTAACAACAACAACAACAAAACAACACTTACTTTTCATTCAATTTCTCTAACATTGAAATATAAAGTGATAAAGAGGAAAATTTCCTAACATTTTATTACCTTTAAAGGTTATTTTCTAGTATAGTTAAAACATTAAACTCCACCTTTCTTTCATGGCCCCTCCACGTTCCATCTTGAGGAAGGTAAGTCTTCACAAGACTCTAGGGCTAACTCACATAATTCAGACCCTCTTCAGGTTCCTGAGGAATGTTGACAGAAGTAACAAAGCAATGAATTAACATCTCTCAACTTAATTGCCTCAAATAGTGGTTTTCCTTTTTCTGTTTTTTTTATCCTCACCCGAGGACATTTTTCCATTTTTTGTTCAGGTAGAGTGGGAGGGAGAGAGAGGAACAGAGAGAAAGAGAGAAACATCGATGCGAAAGGAACACATCGAGTGGCTGCCACCCGCACAACCGACCAGGGCCGGGGACAAACTGCAACCGAGGTACATGTCCCTAGCGGGAACCGAACCCGGGTCTCTCAGGACCGCAGGTCGACACTCTAACCGCTGAGCCAAACCAGCCAGGGCCTTTTTTCTGTTTATTTGTTTTTGTTTTTGTTTTTTTTTTAGTGTATTTTAGCCTAGGAAATCCTGTCTTTACAAGAAGGAAATCTTATTTTATTATGGAAGCCCACTATAAAAAGTTGTTAAAAGCAAATTTGTTGTAGTTGAAGGAGACAAGAGGAAAAGAGGTGGAAAGAAATGGAGACCTTATTGTTTACCCCGTCATATTCTCAGTCTTTTGTGGGACACAGAATAAAACTATTAACCTTGAAGCTTTCTGAGGTACTTAGAACTTGATTCATGATCTTCAGGAGGTAGGAGCATAAAAACACTGAGTTAGACCAACCTGGGTGTGAATAATAGAGCTGCAGTGGTCAACTTTACTCATTCATTCCTTCCAGTTATTCACTGGATAGCTATGAGGTGCCAGACACTGTTGTGGGCACCAGGGATCTAGCAGTAAACAAAAAAAACTAATTTTCTGCTTTCATGAAGTTTATGTGATAGTGGGGGAAGACAAGACAAATAAATAAAACATGTTTGATGTGATAAGAAAATGGAGATGAAGAAAAGTAAAACAGGACAAAGGGATAGTCACTTGAGGTCTTTCCAGGTAGGTCAGGGAAGGCCTTTAATCGGGAAGTCAGAAAGTGAGATATCTGGAACAAAAGCTGTTTGGGTGGAAGAAACAATAAGTAGAAAAGCACCCAAGCGAGAGCTCAGCACATTTGAGGAAGAGCAGAGAAGCCACAGCGGCAGGAACAAATGATGAAGAATGAAGCAGAAAATGAGGTCAGGAAGACATCAGCTCCTCTGGGGAACAGGCCAAATCACCCTCAACTTTACTCTGTGGGGGCAAGCTTCAAGTTATGGAGATGTTCAATATGTACATGTTGGAAAGAATCAGAAAGTTCACCGTTTTAGTAAAAAGGGAGTATGACTAAGTTCTTAGGTATACTTAAGTCTTAGGTAGCAAATTTTGCAATGTATTTGTCTAATCAGAGTTTGGAATATCCTGTCTCTATGGAGAGCATGGTCACCTCCCAAGTAATCCCTGCCTTGGGGACAAAGAGCCCCCAGTGTTTTCTCGCCACATCCCCAAAGTCAGTTTCTGATGTCCTTATTGTGCAGATTACAGTGTAATATGTTCCAAGGAAAATAATGACCAGTAAAGGATGAACACTATTAATAGATTAGGTCCCCTGGTGCATAAAAATCACTTTTTGTTTTAAATCAGAAAAGAAACAAATTGTTGCAAAATCAATGGCCTCGCGATGTAACTCTGAGCTCCACAGCACTTCTATCAGGTGTAGTTTATGTCATCGATGTCACTCGCTCAGCCACTTGGTGCTGTGTTAAGCACAATCTCAGAGCTAAACTGGTGTAACAAAGTGAAAAATGGTTCACTCTTTCATTTGTATTTCTGGGAGCAGGCATTTTTATCACAATTTCTTAGGTGGAGCAATTTTCAAATGAGGTAGTTTTTATAGTAGGCTTTATAAAATCTTGCCTAATAGGCCTATGTTTTGTGACTTTTTTGTTGTTAAGAACGACCATGGTCCCATCGTTCCCTCTCTTGGCACCTACCATCTGCTGAGAAACATGACTAGTTTCTGGTTTTCTGATCCCCTTTGCAATTTGTGATAGAGTTTACAACAACAAAAAAAGTCATTCTATTTGCAACTCTAAATATATCAAGCTTGTCAGACTGTTCAAGGAAAAAAAATGCAAGGTTTGCTTTTTAAAGTTTCTCTTAAAGGGATATTTCATCTTTGTTGTAATGAGGTTAATTCCAGGTTACATACCAAAAAGAAGCCATAAATCTGTGCAACATAGATAATGCAGTAGCTTGGGCTGTTTGTTGACTGCAGTTAAAACAAGGAAGAGTTGGATATTTAGTAGGTCTGTTATGGGTAAAGGCAAGACATTGCACTTAAATTGCTTGGCATTAAAAATCAGGAACTTTTGCCCTGGCTGGTTTGGCTCAGCAGTTAAGAGTGTCGGCCTGCAGTCCAGAGAGACCCGGGTTCGGTTCCCACTAAAGGCACGTACCTCAGTTGCAGTTTGTCCCCGGCCCTGGTTGGGTCGTGCAGGTGGCAACCAGTCAATGTGTCCCTTTCACGTCGATGTTTCGCATGCTCTCTTTCTCTCCCACTCTATCTGAACAAAAAATGGAAAAATGTCCTCGGGTGAGGATAAAAAAATAAAAAATCAGAAACTTTTGCTGTCAGAGTTTGTATGGTTTGACTGCTCTTCAATATCCTTTGTGTTCTGATATATTATAAATTAACCCAGGTGGCAGGCCTTTTCTCCTTTTTAATCATTTCCTATCTCACAATGGTACCATAGTGGCTCTTTAGAGAGGGAAAATCAGCAACCTTGATCTTACCACTTATACAGCGGGGTTTATGAAAAGACACCCACTGTCAATGGTTCACAAGGAAGGTCCTGCCAAACTCCTTGATGATCATGAGACAAGGTTACCTACTTCAGGCACAGTCTTCCCCACCTTTCCTCAAACCACCACTACTTGGACCAGGCTGACCAACCATCCATCTAGGTTCGCCCAGGACTGAGAGATTGACTAGGATGCATGAGTTTCAGTGCTAAAAGTGGGAAAGTCCAGGGCAAAGCAGAGGAGTTGATCATCCTAACTTGGACTCCCCATGAAGTCTGGAGCAGCTCTTGACTGGGAGCAGTGAACCCTGGGCCTTGATGAGCTGCACTGCTCCTTTTGCCACAAAGGGGTAAGGACTCACTGTCTAGGCCTCTGAGGTACACCATGTGGAAGTCTTCTCATTTTCCCGGTATCAGAAAACCTCTGACAATTTCCACATTAGCAAAATGGGGATAATAACCATGTCTACTTCATAATTCTTCTATGAGAATTAAGTTAATGTTAACGTGTAGAGTACTTACAACAAAGCCTGGCACTTAATTAGTGCCTAACAAATATTACCTATTGTCTCAGTGACCATTAGTTTATGGATGGGGGAGAAATGATGCAGGACTTCACACTGTAATTGATTCTCTCCTTGTGGATCTTGCTGTATTACCTTTTCAAAAATTAAAAAAAAGAGGGAGGGAGGGAGGGAGGGAGGGAGGGAGGGAGGGAGGGAGGGAGGGAGGAGGAGAGGAGGGGAAAGAGGGAAGGGAGGAGGGAGAGAAAGAGAGAAAGAGAGAGAGAGCCAATTAGGTCAGTAAGATTTATCTATTGTCTTAAAAATTAATTCTACTCACAAGGACTGACATTTGACATTTGACCATGGCCAAAGCCCCTATAAAAATGTTTTTAAAATGAGGATAAATAGTACAAATACATTGCATTTTCAGAATAAGTTACCCTTATCAACATTTTTTTATCATAGTTAGGGAATGCAAACCTGAATATCCACCAGTAAGATAATGATTAACACAATTAAGTTACACCCATACTCAGCAATTTGTTCAAATGAATATGGTAGATTTTCATGCACTGACATGGAAAGATCCCTAAGGCATACTGTTGCAGAACAATAGATAGAGCATAATTTCATGTATGCAAACAAACAAATCACAAAGATACCTCTATTATGTATAAATACATGAATGAAGAAAACAGGTTTGAAATAATAGACTCAAGTACCTAAGGATTACCTTTGGGAACAGAACGGGTTGAGGTGGCTTGAACAGGAGAGTCATTTTTATGTTAAAATTATGTGTTGCTTGAAATTTATACAAAGAGAATATATTCATATATTATTAATCCTTTGTAATTTTTAAAAATAACACAATAAACCAGCGGTAGTAAAAAATTCCACCCCAAAATTATTTTGTTACTATTTTGTCTCATCTCCTTCTCAACATCCTTCCAAAATTGAAAAACAAATTTGCTGTAGGGACAAAGTATCCAGGTTATTACAAATCAGGTGTATGACACATAATTCACTAACTGATAATGAGAGTTGACCAAAGTAAAGAGTCCGCCTAATTACATCCAAGTAAAAGTCAAAACAGCCACACATGATTTACAATAGATTCTTAAAAAATAAAATCTGTTAGCTGTGGGTTTTTTTTTTAATCTTCACGGGAGGCTATTTTTCTATTTAGCTTCAGATAGAGTGGGAGCGCGGGGAAGAGAAAGAGAAACGTCAACGTGAGAGAGAAACATCGACTGGTTGCCTCCCACATGACCCCATCCAGGGCTGGGGATAAACCACAACTGAGGTATCTAACCCGAGACTTTGGTCTGTGGGCTGATGCTCTAACCACTGAGCACCGTCCAGGGCTTGTTAGCTTGTTTTTAACCAATGGCATCTTGATAGTCATGGAATACAGTTAAATGGAACAATAAAGTTACATTTTTCTGAAGTCTTTGCAAACTAGATAATGGTAATAATCTTGGATGAAATATTTATTACAATTTTAGGGACACTGGAACAGGTTAACTTGTGAGCGCATCCTTTTGCAGTATTAGTGATATTATCACAGAACCTGGAAGCTGAAGATGCTGTCTGGAGGATTTCTATGCTGGGTGGAGAGCTGAAGAGGATGCTCTAGACTTCATTCCAAGGCTAAAATTTTGTAATTGTAACTAGTTTAGGAAAGGCACCTGCTGCATTGGAAAGAACTTGAGTTTCAGAATCAAACTGACCTGGTTTTGACCTTACTCTTCGATACCAACTATATAATTTTAGATATATTATTTACCTCCTTGTGTGTCAGCTGTACCTCTATGACACAGCATAATCTTCACTACTTTATAGGATTATTATAAAGATTTGAAATAGGGTATATAAAAGCACAAAGCACAAAAATAAACACTAAGTATTGCTAGAATGAAATTTTCATAGTTCCTTCAATCCCTATGCCATTGTATTGTTGCTGGTTTTCATTTTTAAAATTAATTTATATGAATTTCTAGTTTTTTACCCTCTTTAAAAATTTGACCTTAACTGTAAGGTCAGGTGATTGCAAGAGAATGAAACTTTTTAAAACATTAAACGCAAAAAAATCATGAGGTCTTATAATCGCTAGGGCTGAAAAAGTAATGCGGTTTAATCTAACCTACTGCAGGAATCCTTTATTTCATCCTCTCCTCCTGAATGCTGCTCAAAAATGCTGCTTCTTGACCTCTTAGCCAGAAAAAGTAGGGGAAGAGAAGTCTTTTGGCAAGGAAGGAACTGGACTAGAAGAAAAGCCACAAGGGCACCTGTGGTTATCAGCACCTCTTTGTATCAGAACAGCTGCATCAGGTGATCTTCAGGTATCTGCAAGCAGCAACTAACAATGTAATTATCTCTTCTCTGATCTTGGTAAAGCTGGGGGAGACAGATCTGGATCATCCTCATATATGTGCAAGAAAGCACTGAGCTTCAGGGAGGTTGTTTTCCCAGAAGATAACATTCTTCGAAGACAGTGACAATGATGGATGCTGAATTTCTTCTGAAGTTCATATGTACTATTGCTAAGGGATTTCTAGTCTGTAGTTGCAATCTAGCCCTTATTCCAAGACTCAATCTTTTGGAATTCCTGAACATTTCTGTGATGTCCACTGAACCCTAACCCCATTCTTTTGTCCCCTTGGTTCCTCTTCAATTTCCCTGATGCCTTCAAAGACATTACCTTCTGCTACATAACTAGGAAGCTCAAAGCAGCATTCTATTCAGCATCAAAAAGTTCAGGCCTACCCTAGACACATTTCAATAATAGTGTTAAGACCTAGAAATCTGATTTTTCCCCCCAATCTTATATTATCCAATCAATTAATGGACACGCCTGATGTTTTTATTTCTTTGTACTTCGATTTGTTTCATAACTTTTAATTTTACAGTACAAGGTAGGATTTATCTCTACATATTTATGTTTGACATTTAGAGCTGGTCATTATGTGGTAAATTACAGTAAAAAAAAATAATTTAGCCTGGCTGGTGTTGCTCAGTGGTCGAGTGTGGACCCATGCACCAAGAGGTCGCCAGTTCGATTCCCGGTCAGGGCACATGTCCAGGTTGTGGGCTTGATCCCCAGTGGGAGGTGTGCAGGAGGCAGCTAGTTGATGTTCTCTCTCATTGATGTTTCTATGTCTCTCTCCCTCTCCCTTCCTCCCTCTCTAAAATCAGTAAGAAAAAAAGTATATATATTTTAATTCTCATGGGAGGATATGTTTAAAAAACAAAACAAAATTTTAAAAAAGAATTTAAATCAATCACATACCAATAACTGAAGCACCTGCTTGGGGATTCCAAGGTTCTAAGTTTATTTTGGCCACTCTAGAGCCAAAATCCACAAGGAATAAATATAAACCCATCTCTATTTATAGGTCCTCCCATTCATTTAAACTCAATACTAGTGGCTAACCATGAAATTATCTTCAAATGATAAAGTATACCTTTAGTTTGAAAAAAAAATGTTTCTTGGGTTAAATCAAAAATGTTTATATGTAAAATTTTAATATATTTTTCTAAATTAAAAAATATCAAGCACTGGTAAGCTAAGGAATGAAAGCATTTAAGTCTATGGAAGTGGGTGAAATCTCTGAGAGTATGTGCAGTAAAGAAACAAAGAGTGCTCCGAACCTAGACTTAAGCAACACCACATTTAGAAGCTGAAAAGTTAGAACTAGCAAAAGAAACTTGGAAGGAGTTGCCTGTTAGGTAGGAAGAAATTAATCAGAGTTTCCATTAAGGTCACAATTCTGGGTGAAATGGGTGACATACACAATGTAAAAGGGTGGTTCTCATTATAATGGGAAATATATTTATGACATAAAAGGGGAAGAGGTCTGCCTGGAGAAGCAGGAGAACACAGAACTAAAGGACAGAGGCTAGAGTTAAATTCCCAGCTCTGACTCTTTTGTTTTGTTTTGTTTTGTTTGTTTGTTTTGTTTTTGGTATGTGCCCCTAGTGGGAACCGAACCTAGGACTCTCTGGTCCGCAGGCCAATGCTCCAACTGCTGAGCCAAACTGGCCAGGGCCTGGCTCTGACTCTTAATAGATATACGACATTGGACAGGACATATGATTTTGCTCTGAGCTTCTGTCAACTTCCCTGCAGAGAGAGGATAATACCAATCTCGATGGGCTATTTGATTATGTTTATCAAATTAATGCTTTGAAATATATACTGTAAATGAAGAAACATTCCACAAACATAAGGCACTTGCCTTGGCTCTCTACCTAGAACTTGCATTACTGACAAGGGTAGGGAACACTGGACCTGTGGGCCATATAAGGCCCAAGAAATCAATACCAGCTAATATCACACACCTCATCTAATTAACCTCACCAGAGCAGGCGCATTTTTAAGTTGATAATTTTGTGTGGCCCTCAAATGATGTTATAAATATCCAAATGGCCCTTGGCTAGCAAAATGTTCCCCACCCCTGCTGGGACAAGGACCCACCTTACCCACTTCTTTCTTGCTAGTCTTCTGCCTGAATTCTGACTTCCCTTAATGGTATCTACCTGCTTTCTGTGACCCTTTTCTGTTGCCAGATAGCTAACCCATTAGTGCCAATTGCTCACTGCCAGAGCTTTATGCTATCCCAGTTGCTGGGCTCTTGCCTAATCATGGACCTCATTGCTATCTTTCTGGCCCCCTCATCACCCATGAGCCCAAGTTACGATATGCTCCAAAGTGTTGTTTCAGAGCCAATCCCACAGCTAACTACTGAGATCCAGAATACAGTCTGAACATTCACTGAATATTCATATCTAGTTTGTTTGTTCAGTGACAAAGATTTCTTAAAAGTCTTAAGATCCAAGTACCTTATATCTCTTTTCTTTAATCGTTACCCGAGGATATTTTCCCATTTATCTTCAGATAGAGCAGGAGGGAGGGAGAGAGGAAGAGAGAGAGAGAGAAACATCGATGTGAGAGACACACATAGATTGGTTGCCACCCACACAACCCCAACTGGGGCTGGGGATGAACCACAACTGAGGTACATGCCCTTGGTCAAATCGAACCCGGAACTCTTTGGTCGGTGGGCCAATGCTCTAACTGCTGAGCCAAACCAGCCAGGGTGTACCTTATATCTTAAAAGGTGACGCTGACAGCAAAAATAATAATAATAATA